GGTAGGGGCACTGGGGTGGGTGGGGGAGGCTACAGTGAGTTCTGGGGTAGCAGCCCCCATATCCCTCAAACACATTGCTCCATCCTGTGCCCCACCCTGCCCTGGCTGGGCAGTACCTGCCCCAGCCCCACTCCCTCCCTTATCGTGGGGGCCTCTATATGCCCCCCACGCCCGTTCCCCCTAACAGACTTAACAGCCAGATGCTGCTCTCCAAGTTGCCAGGTTGGCCACATGCATGCTGGTGCTGCGCCTATGCATGCAACTGTATCAGCAAGGTTATCAGCCACATCAGCCCAAAAATGTCAGTTGCCGATAATATCAATTTTTCCTTATATTGGTGCCGGTACTATACAGACCGATGTATCGGTGCACCTCTAATCTTCGTATACTTTTACCTTGCAAAAGAAAGGTAAAGTATATGAAGATAAAGGGAGTTACCTTACTGCTCCCTAGTAACTGAAGGACTCACTTAAGCACAGTTAGATTCCACTAAGTAAAACAGAAGCAACTATGGCTGTTTTTTTACCAGCTAGGCTAACATTATTATTACTACTTTTTTTTTGGTTAAAATTCATGTCTTGGATAGACTCGAGCAGGGAGCACACTCTTGACCCAAAAGGCTTGGGGAAACTATTTCAATTTCCTAGACTAAACCCTTAATTGGGTTGAAATTCATTTGAGTTAAATTAAGTTAGTCATTGTTTGTTCCCTCCCAATCATATGATTGCATTCTAATCCTAGTTGGATCTTGAAGTGCTTATTTCTGTGATATAAAGGTTCTGAATACTTTTAAAATCTGTAGTCCATTTGAAGATGGACAACAGCAGTGCATCGGGTCCTGTTGCAGTCTTTTTAAAGTCAGGGTAAGGAAACATTAGGGAAATTTCCCAATGTGACAGAGATACTAATACAGATTGGAACTGCTGCTGTATGCTACATTAATTTTTGTTTCTTTCTCTAAATAATTCTTGGCTCCTCTTTTACCTGCATTAGATAAATGCATCTTTTGAGTTTATCATATGGACGTAGCTTAGCTTGTTTCATGTTCTGTTTATTTTGTATGCCCTTTGTGCATCTTGGGCACACACAGTCTCTCTCATGTAACTTAAACTACTTTCCTATTCGAGAAGCATAGACCCCCTCTCTTTATAGAAAGCACAATTTGTGTACATGTTCATACACGTTATAAATTGTACTCTATTATAAGGTCTTGCTCTAATGTGCTTTAGATGGGGATTTGCCATCCTTTTTAGTTCTAAATGAGCTAAACATTATTTCTGGTTTTAATGTTATGGTTAGCATAAAACACAACTGAGTGCAGTTATTTTTTTTCATTACATTTCCTACTAGTTTTTTTTACCATGCCTGATGCCACAATAAGCTTATCAGAGCCATTAAACTGTTAAAATGTTCCAAACATATTATTTACTTGTCACTTTCTATTCAGTAATCCATAATGATACTGTAAACTACGTTTGTAACATCAAATAACTTGTCCAAAACCAGTCTTGCTGTAAAGAAATGCAAGTAGCATTGAAAGAATTACCTTTCTCAGATAGTCATTTTACTTTCTTTAGTTCTGCAGCATTTAAGTCTCAGTATATCCTAAGTTACAAATCAAACCTTGAGCCATTGTCTCCCTTTGATTGGGAAATGGAAGAAGTGACTGAAACGAATAAATTCAGACATTGGTGTAGGACTCTGTGTACTGGATATGAAGATGATGTCAGAGGCTTTGCAACTGCTTACATTGATTCAACCATAAAGAGTCTCATAAGAGATAAAGGGTTCAACTATAAAAGTGAGACACTCAGAATTAAATTTAAGAATCTGATCTAACTTTCCACTCTTCCTTCATCCATTGCTTTAATTTAAGTCTGGAAGGTGAGCTAAGAAGACTTTCAGGCTTACCTCTGGATTTATTTTATTACACTTGGATGTACATAACTCTTAACTGATTCTGAGTCTCTCTTTTTGCTTGTGGCTGATCGCGTGCATCTAGAAGGTATCAGAATCTGTCATTGATACAAGAATAAATTCATCATTTTTTTTTTTCCCACCCCCCCATGCTAATATAACAGATTGGACTGTAAAATAATTATGTTAAGGTAAATCATAACTACAAATCTTGTAGAGGTAAAGTAAAGCTAATCTGTGAAGCTTATTCTTTGTCATTTGTTCTTACGCATGCACACGCCAGGAATGTTTGCCTGGCTTTTTGGCATTGTTCTAGGTTTTGAAAAAACATTGTAGCCCTTTTACCCTCCCTGCTGCTGCCCCCCCCCCTTTTTTTTTAATGCTCACACTATACACCCAAACTGATGTGAACTCAATATATAAAATAGCATGGAGGTTGGCAGAGTAATAATTTTTAAATCTTAAATTTTTACTTCCAAATGAAAAGAAAACATACAGGAAAATTGGTCCATAAGATCACTTCTAGTATATGGCAAAAGAGAAAAAAATATAAAATAAAACTTTGATATGAGAGAGAAACTTACTGGATTGCATTTTCTTTTGGATATTTGTGTGCAATCAAAAAAAGGTAGAATACATACTTATTTGGGATTTATCTTAAAACACCACAAAATTAAATTTTATTTAAAAAAAAAAAAAAAAAAAAAAAA